CAATTTAACACATCCTTGCTGAATAAAAGCATTCATTTCTTTCAAAAAATACAAAATAAAAAAATACTGACCCAAAACTTTTGAATGGTAGTGTATATTGATACAAAAGATTTCTATTTTGAATAAATGCTGTTCTTTTTAACTTTTTATTCATTAAAGAATCCTGAAAAAAAGTATCACACAGGTTCCAAAAAAATATTATAAGCAGCAAAACTGTAATAATGCTCTAATAATGCTGAAAAAACTGTAATAATGCTGATGAAAATTCAGCTTTGCATCACAGGAATAAATTATATTTTAAAGGTTGTGCTGCTTAATATTTTTTTTGGAACATGTGATACTTTTTTCAGGATTCTTTGATGAATAAAATTAAAAAGAACAGCATTTATTTAAAACAGAAATCTTTTCTAACAATAAAAGTCTCTATTATCACTTTTTATCAATTTAACACATCCTTGCTGAATAAAAGCATTCATTTCTTTCAAAAAATACAAAATAAAAAAATACTGACCCAAAACTTTTGAATGGTAGTGTATATTGATACAAAAGATTTCTATTTTGAATAAATGCTGTTCTTTTTAACTTTTTATTCATTAAAGAATCCTGAAAAAAAGTATCACACAGGTTCCAAAAAAATATTATAAGCAGCAAAACTGTAATAATGCTCTAATAATGCTGAAAAAACTGTAATAATGCTGATGAAAATTCAGCTTTGCATCACAGGAATAAATTATATTTTAAAGTATATTAAAATAGAAAAACATTATTTTAAATTTGTAATAATGTTTTACAATATTTAGGCCTGTTGCAATAATCAATATATCTACTTATCGACTGTGCCTTTGTGCATACGGACATCTGACTGCTGAGTACTGATTGTGTTTTTCAGCAATAGTGTGCACCCTTAATTTACAGAGAAAAGAAGGTCAGGGAAAAATCTGTAGATGGAAAAATCTCCATACAAGTTCTTTGTGCATTTTTCTTTTTTTCTACTTGTTACTTTGCACTTTTTGTTAGAAAATGTTTATTTACTATTTATTCAGTTTTTTTAAGGTATCTAATATTTTGATACTTAATTTCCATGATCTAAATATTCTTAAAAATTAAAAGTTTGTTGTCATTTGGAAGCGTGTAGGCCTTCTTGCATTATTATGCTGTTACATTATGATTATATATTCAGTGGCATAAAATGGTCTTTAAAATGACAATAATATCGCTTATCGCTATTTTTTCTGGGGCAATATATCGCACAACAAAATGTTGTTATCGTGACAGGCCTACTACAGAATAAAATCATTCATTTCTTAACTTAACCTAAACTTTTGATCAGTATTTTACTACTTCTAAAAAGGAAAAGGGGAAACATACATACATATAAACACTTTAGAGTATTTTTCCAAATATTTTCCATCAAATATTTCCATGTCATTAGCCTTGCAATAAGTCTAATGACTTTTCTGTGTAAAGAAAACAAGTTAAATATTTAAATATACTCTGATATTACAGGGTTTGTGAGCACCATGTTTTCCTTTTCAACATGTCTAGACAGCATTTATAAAAACTGAAAGGTACTGTAGTGAGAACAAGTGTAAGCAATTTTGTTAATATATATATTTTTAGTTTATATAGTTAGCAGTTTGGAGTGAAACTACTAGCCCAACCCCTCATATCAAGCACAGCTGCATAGTTATGTCACATAATCTGCCACAATCATACTGGCGGGCCATTCAAATTCCCATATCTACTAAACGCTGCACACACTGCGAGCGACGCGACGCGCCCGGACCGCTCCCATTCATTCCAATCACTCTCAGCTGTTGACTGCGTCGCGTCCAGCTGTTTATGCTCAGCTGCTACGCGGCTAACTAGCACAGGAGCTAACACACAATTATATTTGAAGCGCAGCTATCACAGCTAACACGAACTAGCCGGGCAGTGCTTCAGAAACCGGACAGTTATGCGCGCTAAAGAAAAGGTGGCTTAAACAAGCTTTAATGCACGCGTTTAGTAGCTTAAACGTAACATATAACATTTTCACAGCAGTTGAAATAACAGCAGGCCTCTGTGGACATTCCTGACAATAACAATCCGCGTTTAATCCTTTACCTCAACACTTAATTCACTGAAAGCGAACAAGACCCGTCTGTCAGTTTCCCATCAGGCGGAGTTTGTTGATATTCGACGGGCCTGCTTTCCTGCCAATTCTGTTGCCATGGAAATATCTATATTTACAAGGCGCACATATGAGTTATTGCGGACAGGGCCGTGCGCCTGCAGAACAGAGTGCTAACCCGCAGGACTTTTCCTTCACTGAAACAAAACATGTTGATCTTAAAGAGTTATCATTCACTATCGCTGCACATTACATGGAGACTGAATCTGTCAGTTTTCTTTTTTTCTACTTGTTACTTTGCACTTTTTGTTAGAAAATGTTTATTTACTATTTATTCAGTTTTTTTAAGGTATCTAATATTTTGATACTTAATTTCCATGATCTAAATATTCTTAAAAATTAAAAGTTTGTTGTCATTTGGAAGCGTGTAGGCCTTCTTGCATTATTATGCTGTTACATTATGATTATATATTCAGTGGCATAAAATGGTCTTTAAAATGACAATAATATCGCTTATCGCTGTTATTTCTGGGGCAATATATCGCACAACAAAAAGTTGTTATCGTGACAGGCCTAACAATATTACTGTTTTTCTGTATTTCTGATCAAATAAATGCAACCTTGATGAGTAGAAGAGACTTCTTTAAAAAACATTACAAGTCTTACTGATCCCAAACTTTTGAACGGCAGTGTATACAGTACAAAGTTGCAATCAAAATTATGCAACCTCCTTGACCTGCAAGACATGCTGCTGAGAACAAAATTTTATGAAAACAATTCAACAAAGGCATCAGTAAACAATTAGAGAAAGTTTATTACTACACATGAGTGATTCTGAAAGTTGACGAATAATTTAAAAAAGTCTAATTGGCTCTAAACATTCATGTTCAAGAGTCAAATTTAGTGCAGAATCTTTTATTCTTTAAAAACACCAATAAACGCTGCTTGGAAGTGCTTAGAAGAATCTGTCACCTCTATACTGAGAACCAATATCTTGGCTCATTCCTTGCTTAATTTATTTCATTTATTTTTTTAAGTGATCTTCCAAATCACTGATAATCTTTGGTTTTCACATTGCAACTGCTTTCTTCAAATTCAACCATATATTTTCAATGAAAATTAAATTTGGAGACTGAACAGGGCATTCAAGAACATTCTACTGTATGACTGATCTCTGAACGAAGCATAAGTAGATTTGGATTAGGGCTGAACGATTAATTGCATTTGCGATAATATCGCGATATGAAAAAAACACGATTTTTCAATCGCAGAGGCTGCGATTACACTCGGTCACGTGACACACGAGAGTAAAGAGGTGTGTTCGACTTGAAGATCGATCGGTGTATGACATCAAAGTACGGCGAGAGAAAGCATAAAGAGATGTCCGCTCTCTTATAGCTCTTGCAGTACTTTGATGACACACACCCATAGGTCTAAGCAGCGCTGCTTCAAGTTGAACACATCTAATCAGTCTTCAAAGGAAGCATCAAGTTGGCACGCTACAGTGTTGCCAAGTCCGCGGTTTGTGGAATCCCTCCAAAAAAACGTGCATTTTACCACCTCGAAACACGATTGGGCTAGTTTTGAGTAGCGATTGGGCGGGTTTTGTTGTGAAAACCTGGCAACCCTGAAACGCTACACGCGGAAATGTTTGAAAGCGTATATAATGAACGTACTTCAAAACGGCACATTGAAATCACTCAAGCAGTAACAGTGTTGCAGTGCATTTCATTACTGAAGACTTCAACCTTAAAATAATATATATAATAAGGTAATATATATATTCTTATTTATTTATTTAAAGTCTGTCTAAAGCGGTGATTCTCAAAGTGTGGGGCGCACCCAAGTATTGCAGGGGGGGCCATCAGCAGAAAAAGAAAAGAAAGAAAACAGTAAACAGCCAAAGGACGTAACTTAGAATGGGAGATGGATCGGTTTGTGAAAGGGAAGAGAAAAGCCATAGATGAGGTCGCACAGACCCAGGCAGGTGCTGGTCATTCAAAAGCTAAATGCAGAAAATATGACGAGGCATATCTTGCTCTCGGCTTCACTCACCGTGTCTATACTTATACTTGTCGCGCCGCAACAGCTCTACACTGGACGCGACAAAGCGACCGTTGCAAATCATTTTAACTTTGTGTCAATACGTCATAAATAGAACAAGGCATCAGTTTAATGTCGGGTTTTGTCGTGTTGCAATGCGCTGCATCCAGTGTACAGAGAGTCACTGATTATAATGGGTTCTACCGTTCTACTGTATTTTGCCGCTTGCGTCTGGTGTAGACACAGATTTTTTTTATAGGTTTAAAGGGGGGCGCGACCAAAAAAGTTTGAGAACCACTGGTCTAAAGTTAACAATGTTTAAAAAGCACAGGGTGTGAATTTGTAGATTTTCTATAGCAAAACTAAAATGTGTTTAAATGTGTGACTGACCGGTTTGCCGCCACTCGAACTCGAAGACGTCTCTAATTTGACAGTTTACCATCTGATCTCACTCAGTGACTCTAGGCTACGTAGGACGGGACGAAATCATGCAGTGAATGGGGGGAGATAATTTAGCTGGAGATGCAGAAATAAGCCATAATTTTGTTTTATTTGTAACTCTTTGGTAGATACATTTATAATTTCTATTACATTACTACTATCACTACTAATAAAACAGATCTCTGGGGCCCCAAAAGTGTGTGGGCCCTTAGAATCGTCCAAAATTTGAAAGCTTGTATTTGTAAAGTATATATATATATATATATATATGTAAATAATGAAGAGGACACATTTATTTCTTATGTACCATAATCCACTATAAAGGTCATAGCAATTGTGTGCAAATATGACTCAGTAATGTCATCCCAGACTACTTCAGAATGAACTTAAAGCTGATTTTCACGCATAATGGTGTTGATCAGTGTCCCATTCATCTACATTCACCCTACAAACACACCATACTACAGTCACAATCAGTATCGGAAATTTGGGCATTACACGTAAGAATGGTTTTATCACGGTAGTTGATGGTTAGGGTGCATAACCTACAGTATAATCTGTAACTGTTTAAATGAGAAGTGGACATCTGGTAGTTCATGTTCTGTTTGACAGACTGTATAGAATGAGTGTGTGAAGGTCAGTATTCAGTAGATTAATTATTTGCGTTTTATCATGATGACTTACGGCGCTGAAGCATCTGACAGACTGTCCGAGCAGCCATGAGCATCACACAAAGATATCCTCTGCAACAGAAATGATAAATACAAATTACAGAAGAAGAAAAAAATAGGTACATAAAGCCGCTAACTGACAGAGATGAGCGACACGCTTGCGCAGCTTCCGACTGGAGCGCTGCAGCGACAAAAACATTCCGTGTGATGCGACGGTGAGCGTTTGGGGTTCCGCTTTGATTTTACCAAGCTTTACAGTTTTTCTCAGTCGCTTTGGTGCATTTCTCGAAGCATCCTTAATATTTGCAAAGAAGTATGTGCATTTCTCAAAACAATTCGTACAAACAGCACCACAAAATGGATAAACTGCAAAAGCCTGTAACTTACTCAAAACCTTTGGTTCATCTCTCAAAAGTACATTTATGCCAATGAGCATATCAGTGCCATCAGAATGAAAAGTCCTTGTGTCATTGATCACAAACAAGATAGTCAAAATGCTAAGTCATGTTGTCAATATAACAGTGCACTCTGTTAGTATTACCTGATATAAACTATTGCAACAGTTTGGATGACAGTTACTGTATTGAAATGCAGAAGGCTGCACTTCTTATGCATGCCATATATCCATTTCAAAAGTACAAATTTACACACTACTGTATGTAAGTAGTGTATTGATTGAAAGAGACTGGATAGGATTCACAGTTACCCTTTTTACAAGTAAAAAAACACATTATAACGTTATTGTGATATAGAAAAGAAAAAGAAATATGGGCACAAAGGCGAAAATACAAAATTACAAAGGCAAACACAGGAAACCGGGATGGGGGGCGTTATAATAGGGGGGATATAACACCCCCCACCCCCCAATATTTATACCATGGTTAATGGAAACCTCGAACCAGGCTATTAATTAATTAAATCGCGCCTTCGGAGCTTTTATAAGCGCTAACTTTACTTACGAACCGAGCGGAGCAGTTATCAGCACATTAGTGTTGGGTCGTTCTTGAACGATTCGTTCGTCAACGTTTGCGTAAGTAGTAGACATATTAGGGAAGTAACACGTAACATTTTAATTATATTTTGTTAAAATGAACGAAATGACTCGAAAAAAGATTCGTTCATTTTGCTGAACGAGACTCAAAGGTCCGAGTCGGTAAAATGATCCGAACTTCCCATCACTACAGCACATATGAGTATGACTGAAGCGCAGTTCACCAGCGTGCTCGAGAAGCGTGAGGAGATTTGCGCGAGCCATTCCTGTCGGTCAAATGTGTGATCTATTGGAATTATTTAGAGAAACAGCCACTTTAAAATGCTATGGTGAAAGTCGAACAGTATCTAAAAAAGGCAAATAAACGGAAAAAAAAAGTTTTAAAAAACTTGTTTATTGTGTAAAATTCTTTTCCCCTATAGATTTATATTACAACTGTGGCATGTTATAGCTATTGGTTCTAAATGTGCAGGCGGTTGTTTCTTTATAATAAATGCTATATTGATTAATTTAAAAACAAAAGTCATTATTGTCCTGGTAATGATTAATATAGTCTTATTATAACAAAGAGTTAAGAACTAATGGTACATGGCCTTCAGATATTCCAAAAGATGGCATAGATTAAATCATTAAGAGCCTGATGAACTGCCTGAGGAATAAGAAATAAACAATATCAGTATAAGAAAATGTTACGTTAGATTGACTTCCTATGGCATGTTGAATTAGAACATTCTGTCAAACTATAGCCTATAAGTGCCTAAATATTATAAAATGCATTACATAGATATATCCTATGTAAACAAGTAATTGTTAACTATGATGTTACTTTATTGCACCAACTTTACATAGATTATAGCACAAAAGACCATTTCACAAAAATAAATATACAGTATAATCAAACAAACAAATAAAAAAACCTTATGAGTGAGCAGGACACGGGACTCTACTAAAACAGTTCACACTTCAGCCCCCCCCAATGCTCAAACCAAAACTACGCCCTTGCGTATGTCCTTGGCGTATCGCCTTTTTGTCTGTTTTGCCTCTGTACCCTTCCACCATGCATCCTTACTCCTATTCCTCCTCTCAGCTGTTGATCCTGATCATTTCCTGGATGTTCATTAAATGTCAGAATTTGCGGTGTCTTCTGTCTATGCTTTCCAATTGAAGGTTCATGAGATGCACCTTTGAGCTATTTCAGAGAACTGGTTTATAATTGGCATGATCTACATTTCTCTTCATTAGTGAAAGTCAAGATTCACCTCCACAATTCATGGCAAATTTACAAAAAGTCTAATAGAAATGTGTAGAAAATATGCTTTGACAGTTTATGACAACTAGATCAACCATTTTGGATTTAATTACTTATACGATGAATAGATGTTTTGAGGGGTAAGACTATTGCACAGAGAACTACATAATACATTTTGAGCAACATGACATTAGCAACTGATAATGTAGGAAACCGCAGACAAATGCACATAATCAATTGCATGAATGTACCAAAGCAATCGCAACTTGTTCAAAAGAATGAGAAACTGCTTTTATGATGTGCACAAGTGAGATGATGTGGAGGTTGAACAAGTAGTTTTGAGAGTTTCATTTCTGATCTGAGAAATGCACCAAAGCAACTGAGAAAAACTGTAAAATACTTATTTACAATATATGTCATGTTTAATTATAGTTTATATATATATATATGTATATATATACTGTATATATATAGATAGATAGATAGATAGATGATAGAGCAAAATTGTGCTTTCTGATGACCCAGCACTTTGGCCTGAGAAAATAACTGACCAACAAAGATGCAGCATTGTCAAAAGGGGGCCAGTTCAAATAAAGGATTTCGATATTCCTCAAAATTGTGACAAAACTCCTTATCGTTTCACTGCAGACTGTTATTACAAAAAATGAAAAACGAAGAGAAAATAAAGAGAAATTGGTTAGTTTATTCAGTCAGTAATTCTGTGTTCTGCTTCTGTTGCAAGATCTTTGAAAGGGGAAGCACCTATTCACTTAGTAGTGGTGGATTTCTCTCATGGATCAATATCCACAGTCACTTAAAAGAGAATGAAAAAGGCAAAGCGCATCGCGCAAATATGCAAACCTGGCACGAACTTGAAGACAGACTGAAATCAGGAAAAGCTATTGACAGCACGAGTCATGAATTGCATGCTCTTGAAGCACAGCGCTGGAAGGCTGTTTTGAGCAGAATAATTGCTATTGTCTGTCATTTAGCAGAACGCAATCAAGCACTAAGAAGGCATTCAGAAAAACATAATGGCAACTTTCTCGGACAGGTAAAGCTCATAAAACAGTTTGACCTTGAACACTTGAAGAATTGAGAAAAAGGAGGTCAAAGATCACTATTTCAGTAACATCATCCAAAACGAGCTCATTGCATTAGTTGGAGAGAAACCAAAGGATGCGATTCTTCAGAAAGTCAAGAAGGCATTGTACTTTTATGTGATAATGGACTGCACGCCAGATATTAGCCACAAAGAGTTTCATTTCTGATCTGAGAAATGCACCAAAGCAACTGAGAAAAACTGTAAAATACTTATTTACAATATATGTCATGTTTAATTATAGTTTACAATTACAATTTATTATTCTGTATTTATTATTAGAACAGTTATACATTCTCTTGTGTCACATAACTTTAAGGGGCTTTCTAGAATTTCAAATAATAAACTCGTCAAATAATTTTAATACAGCACATCACAGATTATGTAAATATATTAAAAGAAGACAAGCCTTAAGGACAAAAATACGACCTTCTGTTTATTGCAGAACTAACTGCAGCTTGATTTAGTTTCTATCCTCTGGATAAAATATAAATATATA